GGAAACCCCTCGGCAGGCGTGCAGCTGCTGGTGCAGGGCACCTGCCCCGCCCCTCAGAGGGTGAAGGGATCCCCGCGCTGCTCCCCAGCGCCGCCGGCCCTCAGAGCCAAAGTGAAGCGAGTAAGTAAGCTGTAAAAAAGTAAAAAGTAAGCTGTTCCTGAAGCTGTGCTTGGTCCTTCGGGACGTTCCGCGGAGCATTCACAAGAGTGGCCTTGGGTACTGTTCCTCACCGAGTTCGTGCGATTAGCTGGCACTAACCGGCTGGAGCAGGGAAAGGCTGGATATGATCAAAAAGCAGCTGTTCACAGACCCTTTGGAAGGATGTATTTCCACTAAGAGTTATCTTTAAAATAGCCTGTGTGTACCTGTGTTTGTCCCCAAATTTCTAATTAGTTTAATAAATAGATACGCAAAACCATATTCCGTGCAAACCTTGATACGTTTCACATCTATGGTAAATTACAACCACGCACTACAGCTATTTTGTGGTATAAAAATAGATTTTAGCCTTCAAGGGGAACTAAATGCTCAATGACATCGTTTTGCATGAAAAAACTTTCAGAAGGTATGTACCACCCTCTTGGGGAAGAAGTTGAGTCGAATGTATATTACCAACAAAGCAAATTGCTTAAGATAAAATTAACTAAAAATAGAATAATAAAAAGAAATGGCATAACTTTTCAAAAACATTTTCTTTGATAATAGATTCAGGACTGTTAGGCTTTCTGTGTGGATTGTGGTGCCCTATGACTGAATCTAAGTGCAGATGAGAAAAACTTGAGACAGTTCATCTGGCAGGACTGAAGTATGAGGCACCTGTCAGTGTCCGTGCTTTGTCTTTTTCATTCAAATAAGCTCCTTTGGCTTTGATTTTATGCAAAGAGCAAAATACAAAAATTTGGTGGAGCATCCCTATATTGTTAAATTAATATAATATCCTTCTATATAGCCTTCTTTATACATATATATATATATATATACACACACACACATATTCTTTATACATGTGATGCTAAATCATCATATTACTGTCACTTCATCAAGAAAAACAAACAAAACCAAACCAAATCAGGAAATGCACACAGAAACAAGCAAATACAGAAGAAAATTCAAGCTGATATCCACATTTCCCAGCATTCACCATTGGTGACATTCAAATTATTTTAAAAACTGAAAGCTCCTTTTCACAGCTCATTCCTAAAACATTTAAAATGGTGCAGCATGAACAGTTGTGTTTTGCTGGTTGAACCCTATCTATATGCAGGCTACACTTCCTCAGAGAATTAGTCTGCTTCCTTTTGCTGTCCCAGCCCTGTAAGAGCTCCATCTTCAGGAGGGATACAATTCAACATTGAAGTCTCATTTTCGACACAGAAATATATTGTACTGATACCAGTTAGAGACTTAACCAGTTCTTGACTGTCCCATAAATATCCCAAGGAGTTTTTTGAGTGGTTGTAACTCAACATCTGCTAACCAATGTACCTGTTATGACAAACGTTTGCTTTTTGGTAGACTAGAGCTCTCGTGCAGCTTTTCACACTTCTCTGTCAGCTGCAATACCTGACAGGATAACTAATGGACAAAAGACATGAAACACTCATTCAGCTCAGCTGCAAGTAATTCCTGCAAACCGTGTACATACAGGAATAAAGAGGCTCGTTGGATCTCACGTAAGGAGAAATTACATGACTGAGGATTAAAGATGCAAACCCCTTTAAATACATTGACTAATAGTCAACACTGAAACTGGATCAGGAGTATTTTTTGCATATCTTGACTACAATATATGCTTCTAGGCAAATTTTATCTGAAGTTAAAACCACATCTGGATGTAATTTTATTTTCATCCTCTAATACTTTCACTATGTTCCACAAGGTGCCATTAATGGCATTAACATTTTAAGCTTGCCCAGCACTAGGTATTTCAGCTATTGCCAATGAGGTCTTCCAGCAACAAGTTTTCCTAGCATGGATGGATTTTAATGTGACCTGGGAAGTTTGTAGCTTTTTTAAATCCCCTTGTGGGGTTTTGCATCTTCAGAGATTCTGCTGAAAGAGACTCTTCAATCAGAAACATGAGGCAAACTCTTCAGTGCCAGACATATCCCCCTGCAGTTATTCAAATTAACGTAACACTGCTATTTTACTAGTTGTCCTTGAGAAGATTGTTTACTAGTTGTTTCTAATAAAGTAGTTAGGCAAAACTCATGATTTCTGTCACTGAAATTTTAATTAACAATACAAAACTTACATATGCCTTTAAAAAGGACAAAAACATGGGAGGGAATGTTCTTTCAGATGTCATCTTAGGAAGGAAGAAAAAGAAACTAAAGAAATGGGAAAATAGAAAAGGGAGGAAAATGCATGCAAATTTTAGATTTTCCTATGTGACTTCATATAGTAATACACTTCCTTTGTCCTTATGCAAACTAAGTTTATTTTGTTTGGTTGTCTTTTTTTTCCATGGGGTTGTTTGTTTTATTAAAGAACTTTCCCCCAACTCATGCTTTCATACTCTCTAAAGCACGT